GCTTGTCCAGTGGATTGACGCGGTCCGTGAAGTTTCCAGCGGCGAGCGGGCCGGGTGCCATCTTCTCGAAGCCGACCGCAAGGGCGATGTCACAAATGTCGCCTTCGATGAGCTGCTTGGCTAGAAATAGTGCAGTAGAGCCGGTAGAGCAGTTGTTGTTGACGTTATAGATTGGGATACCGGTCATGCCGACTTGGTAGAGCACTCGTTGGCCGCACGTAGAGTCCCCAAACACGTAGCCGCAAACCGCCTGCTGCACGGCGTCATAGGGCAGGCGGGCGTCACGCAGGGCATCTTCTACCGCCTCCTTGCCCATCTCCGGGTAGTCGCGACCGGAGCTCGGCTTCACGAACGGAGTCATGCCCACACCCACCACGAAAACTTTTCTACCCATTTTTATAATTTCTGAATTAAAAAAAAATAATAAAACAACAGTACGACCACTCGGGCGTATGTCGTCGTAGCTACAACGTTTGCGAATTGTTTTGATAAGGCAGATATACCGTACCTCCGCGAGGAATCAAGGTGAGATAAGTAAAAAATTAGAATTCTGTTAAAAATAATTGTCACTGAAAACCATTGCGAAAATTGTTTTTGTGTGAATATAATGTTCATATAAACACCCAAAACATAAAAAAAAATAGAAATTATTGAATTCCTTTGTTTGTAAAAAAATATTTAATTTATGCAGAACCATTGGTAGTCATTATCTAGCGCATTGGTTATATCAAGGTCACACCAATAGTTATTTATTGACATAATGCATATGGTATTACGTAAAATTAACAGAATAAGAAGCACTTGCTGGCAAGGTGGACATTTTAGCGAGGGAACAATAACAAAATATATTGGAGAATTATTTGTTGAACGATATAAAATACTAGAGTACGCCAGCGACTTTGTCCGTGTGATATTAAAAAAGAAACAAAAGTAAGTAGCCTATGTGTTCTTCCAGAATATCCTCTACATCTATGCCCAATTTAATATAGATCCGTTCAGCAGTTTAGGCTACAAACTCTAACATCCCTCTAAACTTTCGCATTTACAATATTAGTAAGATTGCCATTTGGTACAAAACATATTTTTCTTGCTCAAATATGTATGAAATATAAATGCTGTAAAATAATTACACAAACCCTCAAGTCACGTAAACAGGATATTGTGTAAATCTACGGAATGTCCACAGTTACGGAATGTTTACAGTTTCCTTCCCTGAGTTGAGTTAATTTTAGTTAAGTATATTGATCCTATGTTGTAATAACCACAGTTAAAAACATTTAAAAGAACAAGAATATAAAAAAAAAACATTGTACCTATATTTAAAACTTGTATAAATAATTTTGAAGTTTTAGGTTACATTGTAACCGAAAGAAAGAGTAAAATTATTTTAATTTATTTGAAATTGAAAATGTCTCATACATTTACATGAATTAGGATTTTCTGACTATGTAAAGTTCTAAAAACATGTTTGTCATATCAATGAGTGTAATTATTCTTGTGATATGTAAACCAGAACGAATTATTAAAAACTTTAAGTATGTTTACAGCAACATTTTTTTTATATTCACTTTAAAAATCATTGCTATTTTTTTCACTAGCAAAATTACAGAATATTGCTAATAGATGTCACTACAAAATAAATTATGTTACGAATAAAATATTTGTTATTTGTCAGCGCTAGACAAAAGATGGCGTTGTAACCAAATTTAAATTTTGGCGCGAATTTTTCTATCTTCCGTAGTTTTGCCTGTTTGAGGATTAGAAGAGTCGCCTTGGTTCTTGTCAAATGTTTTTCGATAGATGGCGACTACGACGGCGCCGCCCAGGCCAAGGTTGTGTTGTAGTCCAATACGCGCGTTCGGCACCTGGAATAGTGACATAGTTATTGACAATAATTAATATACAATGCTAGATTTGGAGCAAATTGCTTCTATACTGTGAAATTCCGTCCGTATTGTATCTTTTTTCATGTAATGTGAAATTTTCTACAGTGGAAACATAATATAAGAAACTAATGATAGAATGAAAGCTAAGTTCTTTAACTATCAAACAATACAATAAGTATTTACGTAATAGAGCAAAAGTCAAGGTTGTACAACCGTGCATTCTTCAGCATTATGTTTACTTGTAGATACAATTACCACATTATCAGCGATAAATGAAATAAATTCGTAGATAACTAAAATTTTTTTATCCATAAATACCTACACTATCGTGAAATTGCAAGTCAATCACACTTTAATTCAACAAATAATCTTTCTAAAAGTATAAATGAGAAAGTTTAGATGGATAATTGGATGTTGGTAAAGTTTATAGTTTTTAGCCTAAAATGGTGAACGGATCTTTATAAAATTTAGCAGAGATGTAGAGGATAGTCTGGAAAAAACATAGGCTACTTGCTTTTATTTTTTTTTTTTAATTCCACGCTGACGAAGTAACGGGCGAAAGCTGGTCAATACTTGTATGTGTTAAATTTGAAACATTTTTGTTTTTGTTGCCTCGTTTTATTGTACAAATTGTAAAAGCGTAAGACAAAGAAGTACCTGTCGTGCCCCCGCTTCCCCTCGCAGTTGCCACACGAGCTCGGCGCACTGCCCTAGCCCGGTCGCGCCGATAGGGTTGCCCTTCGCGATCAGTCCACCACTAGGGTTCACCACCACCTGCCCCCCGTACGTATTGAGCCCTGCGTCCACAAACTCTCCCCCTTTCCCTTCCTCGCACAGCCGCAGAGCTTCATACGTTATCAGTTCGTTGCTTGAGAAGCAATCATGCAATTCCACAACATCGATCTCGCTTGGAGAGACCCCAGTTTTTTTGTACACCTTGTCTGCGGCCAGTGACGTCATATCGTAGCCCGCGACTCTCAGCCGGGTCGTGTCCGTGAACACGGCGCTCGTGTCAGTTGCCATCTCGATGCCGGCGATCTCAACTGCTTTCGAAACTAAATTATATCGAATCACCGCTTGCTCCGACATAAGGACGACAGCCGCGGCCCCGTCGCAGTTCGCACAACACTGCAATTTAGTCAAAGGGCCAAATATCCTCTTAGAATCTAATATCTCTTGCAGCGTATATACGTTTTTGTTGAGCGCGTAAGGATTCGCGGAGCCGTTTTTATGATTTTTGACAGCGATTTTAGCGAACTGCGTCTCCGTGGTGCCGTATTTTTCCATATGTTCTTTCGCAGCGTTTCCAAAACATTGGGCTGCCATTGGTGCTTTTTCTAATTTCACTATTTGAAGCATTTTCTTTATGAGTATGTCGGCGGGGTATGTTCTGTCGGGGTAGGCGGTAGCAGGCAATGCGCCGGGGGTCATTTTTTCGAAGCCTAGAGCGAGTACAACTTGTGCACCGGCTTGCACCAAGCGGTGGGCGAAGTGTAGCGCGGTGCCACCGGTGGCGCCGTGGTTGTTAATATTGTGCACCGGTATGCCAGTCATGCCAACCTGGTACAGCACTCGCTGTCCGCACGTAGAGTCCCCATACACGTACCCACAGACAGCCTGCTCGATCACGTCATAGGTGATCCCAGCGTCCGCTAACGCCCTCTCTACAGCCTCCTTACCGAATTCCGGATAATCTTTAGATGAGTTTGGCTTCACAAACTCCGTCATACCAACACCAACTGCGTACACTGTAGAACTCATTATTGAATTTATATTTAGAAATGTAAATGTTACCAAAGTTTAAAGTGTTTTAAGAAATAAACATCAAAAAATAACACAACACAACACAACTATTGTTTATAAAAGATTACAATTCAATGTGTTAAGATAACAGGACTTATTCACAGTGCGAATCATTTAAATTCTATGTATCGCTATCTCTTTCGCACAGATACAAGGTGAAGGTGACGGCACAGAACATTATTTAATGTTGTGCTGGTTTTCGAACTACGATTTGCTCCGTCCGGATTTTTACACTAAAGTTAGGTATAAGATTCTTTCTTAATGTTTTAATCTGAAATAACTATTTAACATGTCGTTTTAGTCAAACAAGAACGTTGTGCCACTTTTTAATTAAATTAATCGTACTTATGAAAGTAAAATGTGACACATTTAGTGTGGAGCGCATAAAACGCATAAAACTAATTTTAATTTAAAAAAATCTTTGATTATGCACCATGAACGAATTTGGAACAATGGGCGACCACCAGTTTCATACAATTTTTCTAATTACAAAGGTTATTTTGTACTTTGACCCCAGGTGTAGTTTTTAGCGACTAAATCGTTATAAAAATAACGGAAGTTAATACTGTCGGATTTGGTTGATGAACCTTCAATAGCAAGTGGTCTGGTTGTAGACGACCTCTATATGTGAGACACTCCAAATAGATAAACCTTTATAAACCAGAATATCGCTGTCGCTTGCACTCGCTTATCCAAATTCTATTGTTTAAAAAAGTACCCATATAGACGTATTATATACTATAGACCTTCCTAACTATATAGATCTACAACTACTACTATAGTCCTACCTAACTATATAGACCTACCTACCTAACTATATACTATAGACCGAAATTCTGAGATGGGCATAAATAAAACTGCGCTCATTAGCGCCCTCTTTTTATCATGAGGTTTGACATATATTCTGATAGAACCAACCGAGGACAGCTTCACACCGGGGTATGCATCCTTGATTATTGTGGGAGGCTTCAAAGGTGCAAATCTTGTTTAGTGTGGGCGCACACTTTTGACTAAGCTATCGCACAACTGTGTGCCATTGTCGATTGTTTAGCCATTTCAACAAAAAATCGAATGCGATAGTTTAGACAAAGATATTATGTTTTGGAAGTGTAAATTTTTTTGTAAAACTCCAGAACGACTGAACTTATGTCGATGAAATTTGGACATAGGCAGTTTTTATTTAAACTCGGATAAAGTCGCGTGTTTTTAAGTGCAGGGGTATAAATGAAACATTTGTATGGAAATCATTTTGTTTATTGCTCCACAAGGTTCTTAAGCTTTTCAAGTAAAAACACACTTCGAAACCACATTTTACGAACATGTGTGTGCATAACAGAACGTTTTATATATATTTATATCTTAAACCTCTAATCTATCAGGTACAATATAATATGCAATCTGTAATGGCTGTAAACTGAATCGATGCAATCCAAAAAACAAACAAAAAAAGGAATGTTTGATTGGATTTTTTTAAAATTCGAACGCAATTTTTTTCTGATATAAACACACACAATTCATAATCAAGGCGTTTCAATGGTATTACCATAGGTAACAGACAGTCGCAAAAATTGGGCAAATATAGATAAACAATTACAAAAAAAATACCACCTTAGGGTCTTACCAAAAATTGAATTTGCAATAATATGATAATAGTAAGTTAGAAAATGTTAATTTACATTCGTTTTGTGATAAAAAAGAAAGTCTTTGTAAAATATTGCCTACTTTCAACTTTCAATGTAAAATTATCTAAATTCAAAAACTTTTTTATCTTTATAATTTAATTTTTAAAAAGTAACAAGTCTATTTACGTGGGCAAGATATCAAATAACAAAAAAATATGTATAAAAAATGATTTATTTGGCAAGAATTGATTGAATACATTTTTAGAATATTTCAAAAATACAAATAATATAATTCAAAAATTTTAATTCAGTAATTTACCGAAAGATGGCATTGTTTGATAAAAGAACATTTTTAGGTTATGTATTTTTGCGACTGCTATACAAGATATACTGTAAATGTACATATTTTAAATGAAAAACAAACATACATTGAGATCACAGGAGTACGACATTATACCCTGGCAATTACCGTACGCGATCTGAACCCGCCATCCGTTCATAGAAATGTTACCAATTAAAAAGGCCATCGAAAATTACTATTTTAAGTACTTAATTACTCTAAAGAGTAGGTATTCTCAGAGGGTTCATCTTGACTTTTAAATCATAGAGTAGATATTCTCAGAGGGTTCATCTTGACTTTTAAATCATAGAGTAGATATTCTCAGATGGTTCATCTTGACTGTTTTAAATCATAGAGTAGATACACTCAGAGGGTTCATCTAGATTATTTTAAATCAATGCTATAAAGAAAAAAAAAATCGTTTTAGTTAGCAACACATTATTGTATATTGCCGTTTTCATTCAGTTGTTGGATTTAAGGTTCATACGCGTTTTATCTACATTTTATAAGGTTTACAACAGCCTGGCAATCGCTCATTATGTACAATTAAAATTATATTTACATAAGGATCTCACTGTCTTATATGAATAAAAAGTTATGTAACATACATGGGGTAGCTGCTATCAAAGTCGACAGAGAAAAAAAATTATATCAAAGTCGACAGAGAAAAAAAATTATATCAAAGGCAAGTTTAACAAAAAAAAAAATGGTTAATTCTTAACTATAATTATATAATGCAAGGTGTTAACTTTTTGTTGTGATGTATTTACGTAATAGCTAATCTCTACTCTACATTTACGTTTGAGTAGACAAAAAACGTTAATTCGTATTTTTTTTGTATATTTTTCACAACACAATATCGTTTGGAGATTTCATCTCGATCAAAATACCATTAACACAGATAACATTTAGGGTCTGTCCCACTACTAGCTGATAGAGGCTCAGATAGCTTAAAAATGACAAATCAACAAAATTCGATATTTCCATTACATATTTTATACGTTATATTGTTATGCGACAATTTACAATTTGGTGGGACAGGCTCTTGAAATTATAACTGTCAGATTTCAAAATGGCGTCATAAAAGACAATCTAAAATTGATCTCAAGTGTTCGTGGTTTTTAGCACCATTTTTTTTTCTTCAAAAAGACAGTGAGACAACTTTTTGAAACTTTTCCATCAATACATTACAACCTACGGTAATAATTAAAGCGTAACATTAGTAAACAGCCTAATATAATAGACACAACTCCAATTTACAGGCCTTCGACAACAGGCCACTTTTAAAAAGTTAATTTTTCAATTAGGGATCGTCCAATCACGTGCTATAAAAAACATTAAAATTCAAGAGGGCTCGAAAATAAGATATCACATGCATTTATTTACTGTTTAATCTATACTATTACAAAGTCCTTGGATTCACCACGCCAGGGGGAGAACAACGGGCGGAGAAGAGCCGCCCAAAAAAAAAAAAAAATCTATACTATTATAAAGAGTTTTTTGTATTAATTAAATAACTCAAAAACTACTAGCCGATTTTAATTTTTTTCAATTTTAGAAAGGCATCTGTGAGTGACACAGGCTATTTTTTTTAATAATGTATAAATTAATATAAAAAAATCAATATTACTTTGTACTAATGATGAGTCGTTGTCAAAAAATCATGTTAATGGACGACCCCGTACAAATTAAAAGAAATAAATCAATGATTTGTTTATAAAATGGCTTAGCCATTACTTTTAGAAAAAAAAACAAATTAATTTCGTAAAACTTCAACCAAACGAACGAAAACAGTTGCCAATAAATACTATTGTTATGTACAATTAAACACTAAGTTAGCCAAGCCAAAAATATAGCACCAAAATACGTGTCTAACAGTACGGATAGAAAAGTTTCCCATATTCATACCTTAGTTAAGATAAGAACATGCAGTTTATTCCTATTTTATCGTTTAAAATAAGTTACTTTATTACACTCGCCTGTGGTGCCTATTAAAATATTAAAAAAAGTAAAATGGTAATTTAATTTTTTTCTCGAAACGTCTCTTGACTAGAGATACGACCTAACCTAAAACTGAACGAATTACTAACTATGTACAACATAGCACTCTTCTTGAAAAAAATATTACAAAAAAAAAAAACATTTTTTTTCCATCCAACTACATGTTTGAGCTTTGCCGAAACATATTTTAAAAAGTGAAATCGAATTTCACACAAATGTCTTCTATTCTTTTGCCAGGCACAAGTTTTTTTTCTGAAGACTGAAGAATACAACAGTTTTTTTTCCATACAAAATCTAAATTATGCAATAATTGAAATTCAAATAATAATTCAGAAGAATTCCACTGGATAGAAAAATTCAAATTTATAATTTGACAAAACAATATGACGGAAAAAATTTTTTTTTTCATCGCCCTAACAATTTAGGGCACAATTGAATTACCTTAAATACAACTCTTATATACATTTCAATTAATTCAAAGTGCCCTTAAACTTGGCACGTATTATATCTATTTAAAAAAATACTAACAGACAATAAAATATTGTAGGTAAAAAAGTTGCCATGTGCAACTGAATAAAAAAAGTGTCTATTACACTTACAAATCATAAAAAAAAATTGCTCTGAGGCAAAGACAAAAAATGCACTAGTACTGGCAAAGGCTACGGTATTATGCCACGTGTTTAGTAGATGTACAAAATGCTCAAAAATGTATGAAATACAAAAAATCCCGTTAAAAATTGTGATGACAATAATGTGAATATGTCCAAATCGAGACATTTTGTTCTTATATTATTTTTTTATATATTAAAATATTTACAAATAGACAAACCGATACCTAGTAAATTCAGGCAGTGTTTAGATACGTAGCTTATTTTTTTTAATATTATTGCTCCAAAAACCTGACTGAAAACCAACTTGTATCCTTAAATGAGAGATTTTTTTCACTTATTTTAGCCGAATAATTTATTTATATACAATGAGGTAGAAATTTGGGATCGAACCCTTTTTTTGTCAACCGATATTAAGTATCGATAAGTACTTAAGTCACCAGTTAGGCAAAATAAATGAAAAAATCAAATACAATTTCTTAGCATACGTGTACTAAGAACA